GAAAGACTTTTTTTAACTGTTACATTTTGAGAGTTCTTTATGTATTCTAGGTACTAGTCCCTTTTCAGATATGTAGTTTGCAAATATTTTCTCCCATTCTATAGCTGTCTTTTCATCCTCTTCACTGTGTCATTCACAGAGCAAAAGATTTTTAATTTGATGAGGTTCAATTTATCAATCTTTCCTTTTATAAATCCTGCTTTTGGTGTTCAGTTAAGAACTCTTCTCAAGGAGAGCTATCAGCTGATCCCTCAGGAAGCCCAGGAGCTAGGAGAGCCTTTCGGAGTTGTCCAGGTGGCAGGTGAGAGGGCAGGTTTTTGGTACCATCATGAGACTATCCTTGGATGATGGCTTCCCCAGGAGGGGTGTAACCTCACTGGAGTGGCTCCCTTAGACTGGAGCAATTCCTGGGGAGGGACTTCAGCTGTGAACTTTCTACACTGACATTATGGGTAGCTAGGGGATTGAGTGCTTTGGTCCTGAAGGGGGCATCATGGGGCTCATGTCACCTACCACCAGTCACTAGGGTTGAGCCCCAAATGAGAAGTGAGGTGTCTCTCTCTTTCTGTTCATGCAGTGAATGACAATGGAACATGGCTGACAAGGGGATGAAGACAAATAGGGGCAGATGAGAGACTTGCTGCTTATCACGGTGCAGCAGATGGGTGATGCAAAAGGAATCGTATCACATATGTTAGTAAACATGTAAAGTCTCTGAGTTGTTCCAAATGACCAGTAGCAACCACGCCAAGGGGTTTTTAACAAAATGTTGCCTTTTATCACCATCGCCTACACCTTGCATTGATGTAGACTTTGGGTATTGCCATTTTGAATTCCCCAGCCCCCTTTCTCCCTTGTTCACAACTTCTGGCTCGTTGGTCCAACTGCTCATCGTCCTTGATCACACAGCCTATCCCTTTTCTCTCTCACTGTAACATGGCACCAGAGTTTCCAGACTCAGTCTGCCAGCCCGTAGCGAGTTGCTTCTCCCACAGAGAAATTCACAAGTCTTAGCATTGGTCAGAGCATGTCTTGGAACATAAAGAGCATGGCCTTTGCTACCTGAGCTAAAGCCGGGCCTCTGGCTCTACACAGAGTCACAGTGGATCATAACCTTTAGGGACCCACACTTGAGGGTTGATTAGCGTCATAGAGGACTATACCGTTTAGAGATCCACTCATGAGAGCTGGTTCAGATTAGAGTCACAGTGGGACCATAATCTTTAGGGATCCACTCTTGAGAGCTAATCTATAATCGTTTATGCTGAGAGCACACAACAGCCCTGGGAATGCACCTATCCCACATGCTTGAAGATGAAGACCCTCCAATTACTGCACCGAAGATAATAGCAGCTGGCAAGTCCACTGCACCACCACTTCCAACCCAACCACACAAGAGAAAACCTGGCCAAAATGACACTGTGTGAACTCTGATTTCTTTTGGATAACAAGAAAAAATCCTTCCACTAAAATATATACATATATCAATATTAAATGATAAAATCAAATGAACACACTTTGGTTAAATTAGATACAATTAGTTTGACTTTTCAGTGGTTACTTGTTTTTTCAAACATTTCTCCTTCTCCCTATCCTTGAGGAATGACAAGTGGGATAATTCATTTTGAGAAATAAAAATTCAAAAGTATCACATATGTTAGTAAACATGTAAAGTCTCTGAGTTGTTCAAACAATTCCTTTTCCTAATAGTTATTTATAAGTCATAGAAAACATGGCAACTGATTGTTGATCAACATAAAAAAATTGGAAAACTGTTGGTAGATAGAATGGTTTCCCTAGGAAATAAATGACTGCAATCTCAACAGATTTGATATTATCCCATTGATATAAAGCCAAAAATGCCACTAAAAAATTATCAGATTTCTAAAATTGTATACAAATTCTTTACCTTATCTTTTGCTTTTTTATTTTGCTTCTTTTTTTTGGCTTTCTTGGGTTTCTTTCCCTTTTTCTTCTTTCTGTTTTTTTCCTCTTCTTCTTGGTTTGCAATGATATCCTCAATAACCTGGTAAAAAAAACCCAGAATAATCATAGCATTTTTATAGACCCCTATCTAGAGGAGGACTATTTTTCCTGATTGGAGAGAAGTATTTGTGCTGGTCAGTGTCCCTTGGCTGCCCTGCTCTGGACCCTGGAGGCCTACCCCTTTAGTGGGATTCTCAGAAGAAGGCAGAATTGGGTCTCAGAGGCAGATAAAGAGAGAGGTTGGACATTTCTGAACCCAGTCCCCTCTTTCATTCAGAGCTGCTCTGACTCTCAGGGTTCTACAAACACCAGGAGAGGCCACGACTTCCTCAACATCCCACAACCACTGGATGTGCCAGCCCTGCCTGCAACTCTTCAAAATCCAAGCTGAGGACGCTTTCTGTCTCCTGCCTGGATTTGGATGGCGACAGTCGCTCTCGTAATAACTTCCCTTTTGTATGAATGATCATGCATCTCTTCTCAGAGTTAGTTTCTTTCACATGTGATTTAGTTCATATGTTTCACAGTGACCAAAGACAATTAGTTCTCCTAAAATTTAAAATATTTATTAAAAATTACCTGGGTCACAAAGGATTAGCACCATTAGAGAATTAGTACAGGTTTGTAAAAAATCCCATAAAAATCAGTTCGACCCAACAGGTGTTTACTGAGCACTCACTCACTGCCATAAAGAGCCATGAGTTCTGGGAGATACCTGGTGCCCATGACAGGATGCACTTCCTGTCTGCACGATGGGACACACTTCCTGTCTGGATGACAGGACACACTTCCTGTTGGCCCTCAAAGCTCTGCTCATCACCTGTCATATGCCTGAGACAAGCTGCATAACCTCTCTGAGGCTGAGTTTCCTCAGCACGAAAATGAAGCCACCATTACCTTTGTAGCACTTATGATATGCCAGGTGTGGTTCTGAGAGCTTCAAAAAGATTAACTCACTGATAAACACAATCGCACGATGGGTGTTGTTACTGGCTCGGTTTATGAAGGAGGGACACAAAGATTTCAGTAATTTGGCCAAGGACACACAGCTAGTAAGTAGCTGAGCTGAGATTCAAATGGGTGATAACCAGGGTGAGTTTCATAATGAAGAAAGAAAAGAGGCAAGACGCAAAAGAATACATGTCAAATTATTCTACAGCATAAAATGCATATAGTTCAATAAAAAAATCCATAGCCTACAGTTTCAGGTACATACATGTGTAGCCCAAGTATAAAGAAAGGTAAAAGAATGACACGGTGCATTCAGAGGACAGTAGTTACCTCTGAAGACAGAGCAAGGGTGCGGCTGAGAAAGCAGGGGTGGGACGAGGGCTGAATTCATGTCACCTCTGGCATGCTGTGCTGAACCGTCTTCCTGGGGAGACGACGGGACCGTGCCTTATTTGTGATTTCCTAAAATGCTGAAGTTTATTTTCTGGTATTATATTTTTGATATTTATACCTATGTTGTTCTTCAGAGCTTAGTTTATAATGTTAAAAGTAAAAATAGCTTTATCATGAACAAAGCAGGATATTGTGGCACCATCTGGACTTTCTAAAAAGAAAACTATAGTCAAATGCCCAAAAGATGGCAACTTCACACTATCCAGAGGCCTCCCATCCCCCGGGCTCTAGTGAAGATTTTGGGGGGTGAGGCTCAGAGGAGGATGTTGGTGGAGGCGAGAGGTGACATACATGCTGTGCACATTATCCGGTAATAAAAAGGTTGTTTCTAGCGTGAATTAAAGGTCCCTTGCTGTCAAAATAGCAATATTTCCCTTGAGGATCTGGCTTACCTGAACTCATAGGATCAAGCCGTGGCTGCCCACATTTTCAATGTTCTGAAACACTTATGGGACATGGACGTTTTCTGATTCTTAGAAGTTTGGAAAGGTTTAGAAATGTCAAGATTTGTTTTTAAAATAGCCTGATATATAAAATGTAAGCATCAGAAAAAAGATGAATTCCTTGTTTGTGGAGTATACATTTCAGTATATCTTTAAAAAAAATTTTTACCCTAACATTTAATTGAACTTATTTGTGGGGTGCAGCGTGACATTTCAATACATGCATGTATAGTAAGTGCATTGATTCACTTGGGGTAGGTGGCATAGCTTTAAAAAAAATTTTTACCCTAACATTTAATTGAACTTATTTGTGGGGTGCAGCGTGACATTTCAATACATGCATGTATAGTAAGTGCATTGATTCACTTGGGGTAGGTGGCATAGCTTTGTACTCATTAACCCAACCCCTCCCCTCCCCCAGCCCCTCTCCCCTCCTGGCCTCTGGTAACCATTATTCTACTCTCTATTTCTATGAGAAACACTATTTTTGTTTTTTAGATTCCACATATGAGAGACATCACGTGGTATCTGTCTTTCTGTCACAGACTTACTTCACTTAACATGATTTCCAGTTCCATCCACGTTGTTGCAAATGACAGGAATTCATTTTTTAAATAGTTGAATAGTATTTCATTGTGTGTATAGATCACACTTTTTAAAATCCATTCATCTGCTGAGAGGCAATCAGGTAGACTCCATCTCTTGGTTATTGTGAATAATGTTGCAATAAACATTGGAGTGCAGGTGTCTCTTCAATACATTGATTTCATTTCCTTTGGGTATATACCCAGTAATGGGCTAGCTGGCTCACAAGACAGTTCAGTTTTTAGTTCTGTGAGGAACCTCCATACTTTTTTCCACAATGCCTGTACCAATTTACATTCCCACCAACAATGTAGGAGAATTCCCTTTTTTTCCACATCCTCACCAGCATTTGTTGTATTTTTGATAATAGCTATTCTAATGGGAGTAAGATGATAACTCACTGTGGTTTTAACTTGCATTTCCCTAGTGATTAGTGATGTTGAGCATTTTTTTTCATGTACCTGTTGGCCATTTGTATGTCTTCGTTTGAGAAATGTCTGTTCAAGTCCTTTGTCCATTTTTTAATTGTTTTTTTTTTTAACTGTTGAGTTGTTTGAGTTCCTCATATATTCTGGATATTAGCCCCTTGTCTGATGTGTAGTTTGCAAACACTTCCTCCCATTCTGTAGCTTGTCTCTTCACTTTGTTGATTGAGACATTTTCTGTGTGCAAGCTTTTTAGTTTGATGTAGTCCCACTTGTCTATTTTTGCTCCAGTTGCCTGTACCTTCATAATCTTGTCTAAAAAAAGTGTGGCCCACTCCCATTTTGTGTAGCATTTCTTCTGTTTTCTTCTAGTAGTTTCATAGTTTTGAGTTTTAAATTTAGGTCTTTAATCCATTTTGAGTTGATTTTAGTGTATGGTAAGAGATAAGAGTCTAGTTTAAATCTTCTGCATGTGGATACCCAGTTTTCCCAGCACCATTTCCCTTCCTCATTTTATATTTTCAGCCCTTCTGTTGAAAGTCAGTTGGCTGTAAGTGTGTGGGTTTTATTTCTGGGCTCTGTATTCTGTTCTGTCAGTCAACTTATCTGCTTTTATACCACTGCCATGCTGTTTTGGTTTTTATAGCTTTATAGTATATTTTGAAGTCAAGAAGTATGATACCTCTGACTTTGCTCTTTTTGTTTAAGATGACTCTGGTGATATGGGGTCCTTTGTTTTTTAAGATCTTTTCTTTCTTTTTTTTTTTTTTTTACTTCTGTGAAGAATTTCATTGTTATTTTGATAGGAATTTCACTGAATCTGCACACTGCTTTGGGTTAAATGGACATTTTGATGATATGAATTCTTCCAACCCATGAACATGAGATATCTTTCCATTTATTTATGTCTTCCCCAGTTTCTTTCACCAATGCTTTATAGTTTTTGTTGCAGAGGTCTCTCACCTCTTTGGTTAAATTTACTCATAAATAGCTATTTTTTTGGTAGCTATTTTTACTCCTAGATAGCTATTTTTTTTTGGTAGCTCTTGTGAAGAGGATTTCTTTTTCAATTTCATCTTCAGCTATTTCATTATTGGCGTATAGGAAGATTACTGATTTTTATGCACTGATTTTGTATCCTGCTGATTTACTGAATTCATTTATTAGTTCTAGTAATTCTTTGGTGGAGTGTTTAGGGTTTTCTACATATATGATCATGTCATGTGCAGATAGGGATAGTTTCACTTCCTCCTCATTCTCCCAAGTTCCAGTGATTTCAGGATGGCAACTTTTGTGTTTGAATAGCTGTAAGTTGATCTCTTGTGAGGGGGAGAGATGCCAAGATTGTCTATTTTGACATCTTGGTGATGCCAATCACCTCAGTGTAATGTTTTTAAGCGTTATTAGTTACATGGTTTATTTTCTCTATATCCTTAACTAGTTTATTAATTTAATTTTTAAAATAGTTATTACATTTACATGGTTCACAATTCTCAAATTATGAATGAGTGTTTACACATACGTATAGTGAGAGGTTTCCTCCCCGTGGTGTTAGGCAGCCAACAAGAGCCACTTTCTTTTTAAACATTTTTTCTTTTTATTAAGGTACGATCAATAAAATTTATATATTTTTAGTGTACAACATGATGTTTTGATGTATGTATACATGTGGAATAATTAAATCAAGTGAATTAACATACACATCACCTCACATACTTATTTTTTGTGATGAGAACACATACAATCTATTCTTTTTCGCAATATTAAAGTATACAAAACATTATTAACTATAGTCACCATGATGTACAAAACATCTCCAGAACTTACTCTTCTTTAATGAAACTTTGCACCTTTTTTTTTTTTTCCTTTTTGTCTTTTTTCATGACTGGTAACGGGATCGCAACCCTCAGTGTCGCGCCCGCACCGCGCTCAGCCAGTGAGCTGACTGGTCTCTATATGGGATCCGAACCCTCGGCGGGAGCGCCACCGTGCTCCCAAGTGCCGCACTCAACCGAGTGCGCCACCAGGCCGGCCCAACTTTGCACCTTTTGACCAACATCTCCCCATTCCCTGATCCTTTTCCCAGCCCCTGATAATCACCATTCTACTCTATATGTTAGATTTTCTTAGATTTTACATATAAATGAGATTGTACAGCATTTGTTTTTCTGTGCCTGGCTTAT